TTCTTAGTGTAATTCTAGCAGCCACTGTCAACATCTGATCTAATATCTGATCTGATAAATTCTTCTGTAAATCTGATGTGAAGTTTTTTACAGAAGAAAGATTGCCAAGTGTGATTAGCGTTTATGCCACATGCAGTTTATTTTTCTGAATCATGTGTGAGTTTTAAAACACTGCCTGAAAGTTTTTTGAGTTACACAGTTTGCAGTACCATTAAGACCCAATTTAGCTGCTCTCTCTTCTTGTCTTTGGAAATTTGTCACTCTACAGGTTATAAAAGGAGACGATGTAACACAAATGCATCCCTCAGTAGATAACTCACGCAACAACAATCTACAATATTGAATGTTTTTAAATATGTCATTTTTACACTGACTAAAAATTGGGACAAATAATTTATTGTGTATTATTTTGTACAAAAATTCAGAAAATGAGAAAAACTAAAATATACAACTGATTATCAGATACATGTAGACAGGATAAAGACTACTGGATTTTGTACAGCTGTTTAACCCCTTAGCAGTCGGACGTACCGCCCACGGGACATTGGATGGTTTAGGGGACTAATTGGACTGCTAAGGGGTTAAGGAACTTAAACAGCTTAGGGTGGAGTGCCCACTCTGATTCAGGAATGAGTTCCTGCCCCAAGTGGAGGAGTTTAAGTATCTCGGGGTCTTGTTCATGAGTGATGGGAGAAGGGAGCCAGAGATCGACAGACAGATTGGTGCAGCGGCCGCAGTGAAGAGGATGCTGCACCAGTCTGTTGTGGTGAAGAGAGAGCTGAGTATAAGAGTGTCACGGTCCGACAGATCTGCCTGAGAAGTTTTGCTTTGTGTTCTTTTTTTTTCCTCCTCTCCCTCTCTTTCTCCCTTTCTCCCTCTCTCCCTCTGTTGCCTGGGCGGAGTTCATTGTGGGCTCCCACCTTTGGCCTACATACCTGGGAGATGATCAACACCTGCGTCTCATTAACTGGCCTCTACTAAAGGGAAGAAGCGAGACTGCTCTTCGCTGGATCATTGCTTGACCTGTGTCAGTGAAATCTTGGCTTAGACACTACAGTCTAGTTCCCGCGTTTCAGCTTCTTGTGCTAACGTTTTGTTTCCCTGTGTACAGACCTCTGGACCTGCCCTTGTTCCCTACGGAGTTTCTGGTGCAAGAGAGGAGTAAATGACTGGTGAGATGCCAAGAGAGACTGAAGAGGAGTGAGAGTGTTCCCCTGCTTTTCCCCGTGGATTCCCTGGAGGCTTGATCCCCGCACGCTTGTATATAGCACTGAGTCACTGTTACACATTTCACCTGGTGTTTGTAAATAAAAACCCTCTGTTCTTCCTTTAAGCAAGGAGTCCTGCGTTTGAGTCCCCCCGGTGACCGTAACAGAACGATCCAGCCAGTATGGACTCAGCGGACTTGGAATTCGTGCCACAGCCAGATCAGCCTGCCGTTTCGCCTGAAGTCATGCTGGTACAGCACGAGCAAATGTTGCAGCATATCAACCAACAGCTGGCAGCTCTCACTCCGGCACTGGCCCAGGGCACAACGTTGCTAAGTACATCCCGCAATCTTCTCTTTTGCAAATCTTTCACAACCAGCACCACCGGCGCTTCCTGCACAACCGTTCCCAACCCCCGAGCCTTTTTCTGGTGGATTGGAAAAGTGTACAGGCTTTTTAACTCAACTCTCTCTGCCCACCAGTAGAGAGGGGAGTACAGGTGGGCAAACTTTCTTGTAGAGATTCTCCCTCACACCTTTTAATCCCCGCAAAAATCACTGTGTGTTCGACTTCTCACCCGCTCCGTGCCTTAATTGACTCCGGAGCAGAGCAAAGTTTTATTGATGCAGCTTTAGCCCGCCGATTAAACCTTCCAACTGAGCTCCTTCCTCACAGACTTAAAGTTACGGCACTCAATGGGCAACGCCTCCCTGACGTCACCCATATCACTGAGCCTATTTCTTTAACACTCTCCGGCAATCATTCCAAGACCCTGCACTTGTTTGTGTTTAAAGCTCCGCTCACGCCATTGGTATTAGGATTTCCTTGGTTGCAACAACACAATCCCACACTAGATTGGAAGACAGCTAAGGTTTCGGGGTGGGGGGAGGGGTTTCACATGACCTGCTTAAAGGTCGCTATATCGCCTAGAAGTTCTTCAGATCCAGGCTCTGCCCCTGATTCTCCTGATCTCTCCTCCGCCCCTCCCATCCATAGGGCTTTGGAGCGTGATGTCATGGGGGTGGGCGTGGAAAGGATTTTGGCCCGATCCGCCATTTTGGGGGTCTAAGTAAGGAGCGAAAGCATAGCCATGGTTCGT